TTTTTAGCCCTTTTTAGTCAGGAATTTTTAGCTCTGATACTCTACTCTACTCTACTCTACTCTACTCTACTCTACTCTACTCTACTCTACTCTACTCTACTCTCAGACCTTTTACTTTACTGAGTAAATACTGGCTCCTTTTAACTCTTGCCCCTGCAAGGGGGGGGGGCAGGGAATGGGTAAACTTGTATGCCATGTTTTGAGATACTTGAACAACTTTCTTGGATTCTCATTATCATGTGAATTTATCTAATTTTGTATGTTGAATAGGTAAACAAAAAATCATCTATCCTTCATATCTCTAAATTTTGCAATTCCTTTCTATTGTACAAATGCATACAAGCATTGCATGTAAGGAGAAAGGCCCACAAAATTAGTGAAAAACAAACCAAAGTATATTAGTGTGAATTGCTTGAAAAAATGTATAATTGCCCCCCCCCCAAAAAAGCATGCAAACATCTGTATAGTTACAAATGAAATGAAAAGGCTTTTTAAATACATTTTTAAAATTCTCAACCTAGTACAGAACAGGTCAAACTGAATATAAGATTCCCAAAATAAGAGACCAAAATGGTGAACATGTTTATTTTCTGACTTTTTTTTAAATTAATGCTATGCCAAAATCAGCCTTGAAATTTCTCAATAGTTGAATTCCACTACAAAAGAGTTTTCCATTTTTCTAATTTGGTCTCAGGGAGATTGAGAATTTCTTCTGGATTTCTCTTGGTAGTGTTTAAGTTCATTCTGTTGCTGGAGGTAGTGAACAAAGGTGCCATGGGGGTGAGATTGTTTTATGTTTCACAGATGAATGAGAGGAATACCGTCTCCTGGGATTTAATGACTGAAGCGTATAGAGCCAGGGAGGTTGCAACTGGCTGCAGAGATGATTGTTCAGTGACAGTACATTCACATACACAAACACACACACCCATGATCACCCAGTGCAAGAACATACCCCATCAATGGGAAAGCGAATTCTCTTCCCTCAAGAAGAGACAGGTAGGTAGTAAAAGATGCAATAGCATTTTTATGCTTGGCACTATTCCGAATTATTGGTGGCGACTAAGCATTTGCTATCTGGTAGAGTTGGGGAGCATATTATTCTAATACCTTCAGATTTAAAAAGTAAAATGGAACAGGGTTTTCTGGTTTTATAGTTGCCTGACAAAGAGAAAATTTGGGGGAAAGCCCTCCATTGTTATGTTGTTGAGTGTGGGCATTAAATGCTGCTGTCCATGCTAACCTACCTTTCTGCTCAACTTGCAACAAATTGAGGGCTTCTTTTATTCTGGAGTTATACAACTTAATAGCCTTAATCCAAATGGTCATTCATTCCTTATTCCTCAGCCTGACCCAATGTGTCTCTTCTGGTGCAGTTTTATTCACTTATTATTCTTCCTCAGAACTCCTGTCTGTTTTAGGGCTGCTTTACAAAATAACATTTTTAAAAGAGGTATTCATTTAAAAAAACATTTCTAAGAAGCACTCGAAAATAATAACCAGCCATCTTTATTTTCCAGTCTAATATAGTAAAACCGGGCAAAGTTCAGAGTGTTTAGATGAAAATGGAACCGTCTATCTCTTGTCTCAGACATTAGGGCCATCAACCACTTTTTATTCTTGTCCTGTTAGCAGAGAAAATGCTATCAGGTATTTTTCCTTGAAAGGGCCAAAGCTGCTTAACTTTTCTGTGCATGGGCTCTCAAGGGAGGGCAGTAGAAGCAGTGGAAAAGAAGGATGAGTCCCTTGGAAGCACACAGGATATAAGAAAATAAGAGAAAGAAGGAAGGAAGGATGCCGTTGGGTGCTGTGGAAAGAGAAATCATTTTGGCAATTAAAAAAAAAGGAAGAGGATAGATCCATGGTTTCTGTCCAGTGTTCTTGCTACAACTGGACAAAAAACCGATTAAGGAGATATCCTTCTTTCTTCCGTTATGAGACAAGACAAAGGTTAGTTTGCAAAACAAACATCCAGAACCAGGCTGGGGAGGGTTGCAGCAGGAAAGCAACACCTGTTTGTCTGTCTCTCCAAACTGCTTTTCATAGAAGATCCAGAAGCCCTGAGAGGATCAAGGGAGGGGAAGGAACTAGAGCTGGGCCTCTTAGCTCAGCAGATAGCTGGGTGATCTATGCTACTGTGGTGTGGATGCGTTTAAATCAGCTTTGGGGGAAAGTAATGGAAAAGGGAAAAGGGGGTTATTTCACCCTTTCTGGACCGGCCCATTTTCTGATCGAGGTGACATCTCCTTCCCCCATAAATTCCAAATACAAATGTGCAAGGAGAAGTAATAGGGGCAGAGGACTGATGCAATAACAGCGATGGACACAAAGGAAACACTCTTTCTCGTGTGTTTCAGATAGCTTTGTTCACACACACCCCGAACCGCAGAAGTGGTTCCTTCTGTATTTTCTTTTCCTTTCTATGGTGTTAGAATAAATCTCAATACATTATATTATTTCAGTACAATGATATGTATATAATATACTTAAATTCTTAACATTCTATTGTTTAGAGTATTGGATATAAAAAAGAGGGAGGAAAGGTGGATATTCTATCATTAGTTACAGTTTAGGATATCAGTGTTACAAGCATTATGATTATTTGGCTTTTTCATTCAAAGTGAAGTAGAATATTGGAAAGGAAGAGATGAAGAAAGAGCATACATCAAGGCATTTGTTATATAATAAAGGTTTCGGTCGTAGGCTAAATTACTTGGTATTTAAATCTCCATTGTATTGTTACTTGGTGTGTGTGTGTGTGTGTGTGTGTGTGTGTATACACACATACATATATATATATACTGTGTGTGTG